AAAATTATAAAAATTTATGAAAAAAATGTTTTTATGAAATTAATGAAAAAATCCCCCAAAAATTAATGAACTGTAATTATTTTTAATGATTCGCGGAAACCATGGATCATTTCCGTATGTTCTGCTGCTTTGAATTTAATCATCTCGTGCATGCCCTCTACGCTCTCCAAGGAACTCAGGGCGGTCTGGAGCGCAGCGGGGCGGAGCGCTGACGGAGTATGCTGGATTTCGGGGTTAGCCTGACATGTTGGTCATGTTGCTGTTAGCATAAACAAAACGTGTTGCACAATGCTTGCACACTGTTGCACTTTAATCCACAACTTTCTTTCCGCCGTCATCGTAGGTCACTCTAAATGCAAAGTGGTCCCATACAGCAGACCTATAAAGTGCTGCTGGCGCGTCTTCCAAAGCCTGTTCTTTCCCACTCGCCAGTCCGACACAATTCTCCACAACAACTGATTTTTTTCCCTGCTACATCCGGCTAAGCTGCTTCGCTTCTTCTTCTTGTTTACTACTGGTGGTTGGCTTTGGTCACAGTACCGCCACCTTCTGCTCTGGAGTGTAAACGCTTCGCCTATGAGAAAAAGGAGCAGCGCATGAACCGAACGAAACACACGCAAATCGAACCGAGACAGTCGAACCGAACGGTTCGGATGGTTTTCATAAACCGTTCCATCCCTATCATATATACACGCACACATCAATTTCGAACAGATGGTATCGGGCGATACTGCACAACCAGGTTTAGGCTATCGTATCAGGGACAAAAAATGGCACAACACTAATAAAGTCTCCTTTAATTAACCTTTGGCTATTAGATTATTAATTGATTAACCGAAAACATAATCAACAGATTAAGCAATTTGCAAAATAATAGTTAGTTACAGCCCTGCATTTAAGAGTAAACCTAAATATTGTATTTCTGTTACTTGTCTTTGGTAATGAATTAAGACAGTTAAGGCCAACTTCCTGTTTTTGTTAAACCAAAGCATCCCTGCAGCATGATGCTGTCGCTATCCTGAGGTGTTGATAGATATCAACAGAATGTGTATTCTATACTTGTGGGCTAAAACAATCACTCAAAAAAGATGTCTTGGCACAATCAGATAGAATCAGAGCCTATAGGATGTATTGGAATCTAGAAGCCAATATAAAACTTCCTTCGTCTGTTTAACATTTTCATGCACTATTGTTCAAGATTCCAGTTTGCTGAAAAATCATTAACAATTCTAGAAATTTGTCAAATTGCATCATGTTACAACAACAACTGCTACCACAACCTGATTGGATTGGAATAAAAATAACTAGTGTGCCGTCCATTTGTGTTAAGCTAAAGAAACGTATCCCTACTAGCATAATGCTGTTTTGTGCGGATTAAATGGGTGGCAAACAAACAATCAACTTACTGGTTTGTTATATTTCATAACATCTGCTTTAAAATGATATTGGGCTATGTTACCACCATCCACTAGAGGGTGCATGATTCTTAAACAGAGCCTCACCGGTGTTTGCAAGAGAAGGGAGGGCAGGGAGAGGCTTGATAAAGCAGAAACATTAATGGATTTAGATTGGGATTAGGGATTATACACCACTAAATGGTGACAAAGATGTAGAACATTATTTTTGTGGTTCTGTTGGTATCTCTGTTTCTTTCTCTGTGTGCGTCTGTCTCCTGTAACCCCACTGAGCCTGGTTCTGCAGGTTTCTTCCTGTTAATATTGAGTTTTTCCTCTCCACTGTCACTACAAGCATGCTTAGTATGAGGGATTGCCTTCGAGTCAAAAAATCAATGAAATCAACTGGGTTTCCTTTGAAAACTTTGAATCAATCTGACTGTCTGATCTAGTGAATTGCAAAGTGCCTTGAGATGACGTGTTGTGAATTGGCGCTTTAGAAATAAACTGAATTGAAAACACTGGATAAACTCTTCAGTTTTCCCCTAAATAGCTCCCATTCAGCCGTTCTGCATGAAAGGAGCAATGTATCTTCTCTGTTGTGCTCTGAAGGTGAGGATATTAGGATAGCAACATTAGTAACATAATAAGAAAAGATACTAGGGCTGCAACAACGAATCGATAAAATCAATAAAAATCGACTTTTAGAAGCGTTGGCAACGAATTTCATTATCAATTAGTTGTGTCGCGTGATTAATGCGTCATCCGCCGCCGCCGTCATCACATCCACTTGACTGAAGCGGGGGGAAGAAGAAAAAATACGGCAGAGCGAGCCAGCGCTGCAGGTGCAGTGTTGCAAACTCAGCGACTTTTCAGACCCCTCCAGCGACTATTTTTCAACAACGCGACTAGCGACAAATCTGGCGACTTTTTACGGTGTCACTGGCGACTTTTGGAGACTCTTATGTGAAAGCATGTATCGTTCCTACTCTGCCGTTGGGCGCCTCCCCCCGCTCCCGCAGGAGTCCCTCTCAGCGCTGCAGTCAGAGCAGCAGGATGTTTACCCTCAGCGTCCAGACTGCAAATGAAGCGAGCATGCACCGGGATTGACGGCGCAAATTGATCACAATAATTAAAATAGCCTGCGCTTTGTACAGTGAAAAAAGTCGTAACATGCAACTTTTATAAAAACAAACTAACATGGCACGGAACCACCATGTTTGTTTCGTTTTAAAGTGGGGAAACGTAACGTTAGTTTCTCAGGTAGCTCATCTGATGCTTTCCTTACCGTGTTAGTAGGTTACAGACAGTGATAAGGTTGGCTACTTATTTTACTTTTAATTTCATTTGAATTAGCTTAAGCAGCGTTTATATTTTCTTTATAAATAAATTAACTTGCAAATTATGAGGGCAAGGCTTTTAAAGTTTAAATCTTCTGGCAAAAATAAAGTAAAGATCCTGCAATTTATGGAAGTAAAGCAGAATAAAATCCAGCAAGATCAGTAATATGTCTATTAATTATATGCCACATTCCCATGTAAATATCTGTCTTTGGAGGATGTGTTTTTTAGCACCCCTAGTTCTCTTTTTTATTCCAAATACAATTTATAATTTGAATCACAGGGCTACTTTTATCTCTATGGTTCAGTATTTTCTCAAGTAGCAACTTTAACTGCTATACTTTCCTGTCTTAAAAGGCAGAACTCTTCTAGTCTAAAAAAAAACCTCATTTGTTGAAATGGGGGGGCCTATTGTTTGAACCCCTTAGGGGCTTTTAAAAAAAATTTCTTTTTTTGCACTTTATCAAACAAAGTAGCCTATATTTTGTGGATGTACAGCTACATTTCTCATGTAAGTTTGCGTAGTTTTAACACAAACATTTATTTTTCATATTACACCAGTACAGTTAATGAGCAACCTGTACTTGTGTGCTTGTTTGTTCTGTCTAAAATGTTTATTTTGGAATAAAGAGGTTAATATAAACAATATTTTTGTCCGATTCATCTATTAATCGAAAAAATAATCGGCCGATTCATCGATTTTTAAAATAATCGTTAGTTGCAGCCCTAAAAGATGAACTACCAATAAGCACGGTAGAAAGGGAAGTCTGTGTGTTAATACACATCATGCATATCTTAACTTTCCTGTAACCAAAACCAGAACCACCTGTTTAAAGGCACTGCTAGTAGCACAAAGGTTATCCCAGCACTGATTATAAGATTAGATTAAAAACAGTGGCGAAGCCAGATAATGTTCATGGGGTGGCCAGCCAGGGACGATAAGCACTGAGAGATAGCCGGAACGTGACAGGTGCTAAAACAAGCCTCCGGTCAATATACACTGATCACACTGGAAAATGAGCAAGAGAGACATCCATACTTTGCAGATAGGCCTAAATTCAAACAATAGCCTATGTCAGAGAATGGCAAGGTCTGCATGTAATTCTTCTAATTTCCCTCTATAAACCACTGCTGCACTGGTAAAACAATCTGGCTGCTAGGTAACTTTTGAACATGATAATTATTTATTTATTTATACTTAGGTGTATAAACTAAAAAATGTCAAATCAGCATTATGCCTCTAAGGTTATGTTGTACCAAAAGTGTTTCTTTTACTTTCACTGTGTTTTTCATGAATTTTCTTATAGAAGAATTTTTGTTATTTCTTTTAATATATTCGGGCATGTTGGCGTTTCTTATTACATTGACATTTATTTTTGCCATAAACATATCCATATATTTGAATTCTATTAGCTTGAAACGTTGATTTCACTGAGTGCTATATAAAGGCTTAAAGCAAAATACTCTAAAATCAAATTAATCAATAACAACACTTTTTTTTTTAAAGAACTTTGTTCTATAGATTTGTATAGTTGTGTATCTGGGCAAGAAACCAGTTATCTCCGCCTAATGTGTTATTGTAAGGCAATGAGGCCAGACTGGTTTTACCCGCTGGAGCACAAAGGATGGCAGGACAGGCAGGCGCGCGCGGCGATAACCAGGGTGGGAGGGGACTCACGTGCACAAGCTTCGTGCTGACAGTTTTACGTGATTATGAAGACAATTTTAATGGCTTTACTTGAACACATATTTAAGCTGCCCCACAATGACAGTAAAACCCAGTTTACCGATAAAAACACGCACCTCTCTCTGTCGCTGTCTCTATCTGACTGGTCTGTTCGTTCTAAAATTATTGCGCATTAAATAAAGAAGCGGTTTCCGTTCAGACGGACCAAAAACACCATCAGGAAGTCAGATTTACTCAACTTTAGAACCTCCATTTAGTAAGGAACTGCGATGCAACGAAAATGTTTTTATTTTCCCAAAGCACGAGCCGAATATGGATTGGTCCTCCCGTGATAACAATGGGAAATACTGAAACATTATTATTTTAAAGGAACGTCTTGCGCTTCATTAACGCAGCATAAACGCTATTCCATCATTGTAATAATAAAGCAATAATACCAGTTTTACAACACAGAGAGCATTCAGCGCCGCCGTTCCTCAATCCTTGTTTAAAACATCAGAAAATGAGTCAGGAAACTTCTTACTCAGTAAACAATAGACATGGTTTAGACGAGAGGAGGTGAAAGAAATGTAACATTACCTGCAGCTTCTTTTTCAGAATATCTTGAACGATGGAAACAGATGCAGAAATGTGTTTGCTTGCGCCCCTCCCTCCCTTTCACGAGCCCCTGCACGTGAGCGCCCCTTCAGAAACACTTCCAGCCAATAGAAAGAAAAAGACACGCGGTTACGTCACGTTCTTCCTTTTTCGGGTGAATCACGCCTCCTTGTAGAAACACAGGGAGCTCTGCAACGCCAGGGCGGTAAATTGGAAATAAAAAGCAATCCATGATGGATTATCTAAAACTAAAACTATCTAAAACTAAGATGGATTATCCATCTTAGTTTTAGTCTTAGTTTTCATCTTCAGGAGGAAAATTATTATTTGTTTTAGTCACATTTTAGTGATTTTTATATTTGATAGTTTTAGTCCAGTTTTTACAGAAGAGGATTAGGGCCACTGAATTAATAAATAAGAAAAAGTTAAATGATGGTGGGAAAAGTCAAATTTTTGATGTTAATCTTAGAATTCTGACTTTAATCTCAGAAGACTGACTTTAATCTCAGAAGTCTTACTTTAATCTCAGAAGTCTGACTTTAGTCTCAGAAATCTGACTTTAGTCTCAGAAATCTGACTTTAATCTCAGAAGTCTGACTTTAATCTCAGAAAACTGACTTTAGTCTCAGATGTCTAACTTTAATCTAAGAAGTCTGACTTTAATCTCGGAAGACTTAGTCTCAGAAGTCTGACTTTAGTCTCAGAAATCTGACTTAAGTCTCAGAAATATTACTTTAATCTCAGAAGACTGACTTTAATCTCAGAAGTCTGAGTTTAATCTCAGAAGACTGACTTTAATCTCAGAAGTCTGACTTTAATCTCAGAAGACTGATTTTAGTATCAGAAGTCTGACTTTAATCTCAGAAGTCTGACTTAAATCTTAGAAGTCTGACTTTAATCTCAGAAAACTGACTTTAATCTCAGAAGTCTGACTTTAGTCTCAGAAGTCTGACTTTAATCTCAGAAGTCTGACTTTAATCTCAGAAGTCTGACTTTAGTTTCAGAAGTCTGACTTTAGTCTCAGAAATCTGACTTTATTCTCAGAAGTCTGACTTTAATCTCAGAAGTCTGACTTTAGTCTCAGAAGTCTGACTTTAGTCTCAGAAATCTGACTTTATTCTCAGAAGACTGACTTTCACTGCATGAAAAGTGGGATTTTCGTCAATATACGGCACTGTAGATTGTCGTGGAACTTCAGGTTAGCGGCAGTTTACGGCAATTTGCAGGCTTCGCCGAAAACTCCCGTAAATTGTCAGAAATTGACGTGGAATTTCTTAGGCAGTGTTCCCCCCATGCCTCCCCCCCATGGAATTCTAGGGGAGGCTTTAACATGTAAATGAACATGCTGTGAGCTATACAAATGCAAACCAGGGTTGCAGAGGGGGTTTTACCCCAAGTGACATCTTTCTGGGTAAGAAAATCTCTGATACAAAGAGATCAGGTATAGCCTCTTACATTTTAGCTTGAATTGATTTATTTAATTAAAGTATAGAGACCAAAACAGATCTTTAGCTGACAGAGCAATACATTTAGAGCAGTAATTATTTTTTTTTAAATTTGCATTTAAGATAAAAAATAAAATGTTGTCTGCCAATATGCTCAGTTCACAATTACTTAAGTGGAAAAGTTTCAAGAAATGATTCTGAGATGATTCACTTTATAACATGGCGCATTATCCTGTTGGAAGTAGCCATCAGAAGATTGGTACACTGTGGTCATAAGGACATAGGTCAGCATGCTAAATTGGTATTAAGTGGCCCAAAGTATGGCAATAAATATCCCCCAAATAGATGGTAGAAATAGATCAGGCTCAGTATAGCCTAATTATAGACTCTTACATTTTAGCTTGAATTGATTTATTTAATTAAAGTACGCTAGATTACTGTGTATGCAAATGTTATGTAAAAAAAATACACAAAATAATTTACTTCAAAAATTAGTTTTACTCAGAATCAGTTGGCTGTAATGGTTAATTTTTTTTTTTAGATTTCCACTTATTTTTTTTTTTTTTGTTATTGAATATATAAGAAAACAATAACAATCTCAAATAACAAGTCAATAACAAATATTTCAATACAAGAAGAAATATCACAACTCCTGCTTTTGAAAAATAAAATTAAATGCACAGGCTGGAACAAAGTATAAAATAAAATAAATAAAAATAAATAAAATAATAATAGTAGTTAAAGTAAATTAATCAGTGGGGACTACCAACTGAAATTCTTCAATTAACTCAAACAATTTAATTGCATTTAAATTCTGCATCTTTCTCAGACATCTTTTGAAAAGGGAAAGTTCATTTTTGAGAGCAGAGATTGAGAGGGAGCATTTTGCATAGCGACATTTATGGATATAATACTTTGTTACAATTATTAGAATATTGATTAAAAATTCCAATTTTTTTTTCTTTAATGGATAAACCGAATTGAATGTTTTGCCAGGAAATAAAATCTAAATTTATTGTTTTAGAAGACAGAAAGGTTCGAAGTTGATCCCATAAGTTTAATACTTCTTTACGTTCATAAAAAAGATGTTTAGTTGTTTCCAATTGAGTTGTACAAAAGCCACAATTCTCAACATTAAACTTAAATCTCTCTCTTAAAAACTCATTTGAAGGATATATGTTATTTATTATTTTAAATTGTAATTCTTTATATTTAGGAGGAATTGGGAATTTCAAATAATTTGTCCTAATTTTGACTATCATAGATTTCTTAAAATTTTGTAAGAGAGCTGTGCTTTTTGTTCTTCCTGGGTACATATTATTTATAGAATATTGATTCAAAAACTTGTTGTTGCATTTATTATCTCTAATGTCCACCTGCTCAAATTCAATCTTATGGAGACAAACAATTGCAATTGCAAACAATTTATAGGTGCATTACCGCCACCTTCCAGAATGGAGCGACGCGAGCTCTTCTCGCGAGTCCTTCCGTATAACAATGACGTCGTATGTGATTGGAGGAGCCTGATGAGCCTCCGGCCCCATCGTCCAATCACGTGTGAGCTTTTGTGCACTTCGACTACTCGCGAGACCAGCATATTAGCAGACATGTTTGTGTTACTATACTCAGAAGAACTTAATCTCCAGTTACCGTGTTTGTATTTTGTTGTTACGTGAACAATGGCTGCACGACGTCTCGCGTTCAACTCGCCTCCAATTGCTCTTAGTCCACAACTTTCGGCCAGCCCGCAGACTGACGAGAAGAAACTGCTGATTGCTATCAGCGGACTGTCTCGTCAGCTTGCCCAACATACTGCCGACATGAATGAGCGCCTCACTCTGCTGGAGAATTCGATGCACTCCAGGTTGTAGTCCATAGAGGACAAGATGGTGGCTCTGCAGTCGAGCAACTTCGCGGGATATACGAACTCGAGGAAGAGAAGACGGGTGCACAACGCCATGCTAGCGGTAAATATATGTTCGATTACTGGTAGCTATGCTAAAAGCAGCCTAGCTTAGCTAGGCAAGCTAAAGACAACCTAGCCTAGCTAGGTAAGCTAAAAGCAGCCTAGCCTAAAGCTTTATTCAAGTGTATTTTTTGTGATTCACAGGAAGCAGTATGCCGTCTTCACAACTCGGAGACTAATTGCAGGCGCTATGAACCGGAGCAGGGGTAAGGTTTAAAGAATATGCTTTCATTCTGCGGTAAAAGGACATGGATACGGATAAATACCGACCATAGCTGTACTTTTTTTTTTTTCACAGACTACAGTCGCCTCACAATGAGGCGGTGACCTCCTATTTGCCGTCTCGGCAAGTCCAGATTTGCACGATGTTGATAAAGACGACATTGTGTGTAAGTGACTTGTTTTAATGTTTTCTCCTTCCTTGTTACTGTGACTTGCGTTTGATTTTTTTTTTTATTCATACCACTCTCATTTAATTGTTTTCCAGCTGCCTGTAAGACGTATTATGAGACGGTATGCAGGAGCTTCAGATATACGCTGCTAGCCAACACGCTGCGTGCGGAGGCTGCCAGGCTATCTGCTCGGAGTCGGGCCAGAAGAAAGAGGGTAAGACTTTATTTGGTGACTGTTTTTCAGGTGCATTGATAGATGTGTTGTGTCCATATGCAGTGCGCTGATTCATTGTTTTTTTTTTCAGCTGCTGAAGGCGAGGCAGAGTGTGCTGGCAGATGAGGAAGTGGAACTCTGTAAGTCCGCCACCGTCGACCTCATGTCCGACGAAGAAGATGGCGTCGGCGGCGGTGTCTCTGGATGGATTGTACGGTCGCCGCCATTTCGTAGGCCGGATCTCACTGAACTCTGTGTTAAGCTGCAGTCCCGGTTAGAAGCGATGCCGAAGTACAGGGCCGCGCACAGTAGGCGTCTGCACATCGGACCTGCCTCGGAGGGAATGCTGCCAGTTACCTCCAACCCCGAGGAAGCAAACGGACCGTTCACGGACTTTTAATTTTTAGAAACGCATGTGTTTGGATACGCGTTGTATATAGTTGTGTGTGTGTGTTTTAATAAAGCTCTTTCTATGCATAAACAGCTTCCTGGCAAATCTTCATTTCCTGTATAAATTCATTCATGTCCTTGATGGTAGCATAATAATTGTGTAGTAGTGTAGGATAACATAAATACACAGCATATGAATGAATAAATATATGAATGAATAAATATATGAATATATATATGAATGAATAAATATATGAATATATATATGAATGAATAAATATATATATATGAATAAATATATATATGTAAATATATATATGCCAACCAATCACGAGCGACTTTACTTGTTTAAAAAGAAGTGGTTCCGTCCAATACTCAGTAAGAAAATTAAAGCCTGGCGTGGCCACGTGTGGTTTTGCTGCCAATCACGAGCGATTTCATTTGTTTGAGAATAGTGGTTTCAGCCAATACTGAGAAGGTTATTCAAGCCAGACCTGGCCAGCCGCGCGGGTTTGCTGCATTCATATGCTAATTAGGGCCATTAGTACAGCTGATCGCTCTCCACATACGTCATGGTACGTTTCCGACAATTTGTGGCACGACAAACGCGGACAAGCACGGGTTGCAAATTGTCGGAAACTGACGAAAATC